TTATCTTTCCGCAAACAATCTTGTAAAATCTGTATTGATCTTCTTTATCAATATATATTTTAAATTTGAAAATTGTGTTTGTATTAATCCCCCCCCCCTTCTACAAACTGTTTAGTATTCTTGTAGACCCTTTGGGACCAACACATATTTTCAATTCATTATCAAAATATTTTCTTACGTTATCCAAAGATTTTTCAAGTTTATTTATTTGATACTCGGAATCATTCTCAACTCTTTCCAATGCTCTTTTATGATCTTTTTGTAAAGTTGCAATAAATTCCATATTAGCATGATTCTCAGAAAACATGTTTATGTATTTGTCTTTAAAGTCCACAATGCTCTTCTCCAGCTTTGAAATCTGAGCTCTCAACTATTTATTCTCCTTCTCTAGAATAGCTGCCATTAAGAAAATTAAGATTGATCAGACAAAGAATCTATGCGGTTTAAGAAAAATGATCAAATAAATACAGACTAAAAGTATTACACAATCACTAAAAAAATTCACACAATTTCTGGACAAACAAATTGTTCAAAAAGAAAGTTTAGCAAAGATTAGACAGGGTTCAGACAAATCAAAAAGTGTGCCTAAACCAAAACTACGTTCAAGCCTATGTCTAAATTTCTCAAGACAATATCTAAAACACTCAAGAAATGTGCATGGAGAAAGTTGGTTACTGCATGTAACACTACACTTACTAAGTCGCTCACCACTAGGTTTTAAATCGCTCAAGCTTGAATATCTACACAACCTAAATCGCTTACTGCTATGTTCCTAAGGAGTAGGATAAAATGCTCAACACTATCCTAAATCCGCTCAAAACACAGCCTAAGTCAAACAATATCCTGCTCTAAATTGCTTACTGCTATGGTTAAGTCCGCTCACCACATGAACTTTAATCGCACACCGAACAGGTTAACTCGCTCACCTCTCAATATAAATCACTCACTCTATAGGATAAACCGGTGAAGGCTGTCTCTTAATACGTTCAACAAACGGTCTATATCCGCTCAAAACATGGTATTCTACATACTCTTAAACACTCAACAAACTAGATAAATCGCTCACCTCACAGCTCCTTAAATCGCTCAATGAACAGCCTATATCAGCTCACTATATGAACTTAATCTGTTTACCACAGTTCCTTAATCCGGTCAAGAGACAAGCTTAAATTGCTCAATACATGAACAAGTCCGCTCAACACTGCATAGGCATATTGCTCACTGCATGAAGAAAGTTGCTCAAAGAATTATCAAGTCCACTCAAAACATAGACAAACCCGCTCAAATCTAGTTGCTAATCCGCTCACTGCATACTACCTAAATCGCTTACCAAAGACTTTAAATCGCTCAACACTTGCAGCCTTCTTATCCGCTCATCAAACAGCCTAAGTCGCTCAAGCTTGAAGTCTAAATCGCTCAATACTAGCTGTAAATCGCTCAACAAATGCTGTAAATCGCTCAAGAACCAGCCTAAACCGCTCACTAAACAGGGTCAAGTCCGCTCACTATGAGGTGTTTAATCGCTCACTTCACACTATTTAAATCTCTCACTCAAGCAGATCCTTAAGCCTCTCAAGTCTGCTAAATAAGTGATTTAAACCGCTCAAAACTAACAACCTCTTAACCCGGTCAGCTCAAGACATTCTTTAAATCGTTCACAGTAAGAATGAGCTAAACCGCTCACTACTTGCTTCTCATGGCCTAAATCGCACAAAATATTGATCCAAGACCCAAGCGATTTAAGAAAAAAAAATTCAATAAAAAAAATCAATCAAACTTAGATCAAAACAACACACAAACACAAAAAATACAAAAAATCATACAAAAATTGGATCAAAATCTAACTTTTTGAAGAATTTTCATTAGAATACTAAAAACTTCAAAATTCATAAACTCTTCAAATCTCTAAAATCGATGATCAAAACGCAAAATCACAAGAATAACAATGAATCACTATGTAAAAACATACACAACGATCATCATTTTAACAATCAAATGTCCAAAAATGAAAGATTTGAGAAAAAAATTATGAAAAAAAAGATGAACATTCAAGAACATGAAGAACTTCAAGAACAAAATGATAAAATTTCCAGAAAAAATTGTGTAATCCTTGATGATTTCTTCAACCAAATTTCCTATAAACTTGTTCTGATACCAAT